CCCGCCCGCCTTCCCTCCCTCCCTCCCTCCCGGCCGGGCTGTAGGGGAGACTTCGGGGCCGCGCGCGAGCCGTCCGCGGCGCCTGGAGCCAACTGGCGGGGCGAGGACGGTGGGCTGCGAGTCGCCCGTGGGGCTTCCGCTTTGGGGAGCGTTCGCAGCCCCGCAGACCTGACGTTTGCACGGACTCCTCCGCGTCTGCAAGTTAACTTCGCTTAGAAAGTGCGTTCGCGTGTGCCCGTGCGCTCACTCCGTGGGCGGCAGGCGGCGGGGCATTAAGACACAGAAAGGACCTAAGCGGTTGCCCCATCGTTGCTGGACGCCCGGGCACGTCCTGGTCTCCCCCCTTTGCTTAGGACGTGCCTGAGAACACGAACCACCCCTCGGTGCCCGGGTGTTCCGTGCCGTCTGTCCCGAGGACCCGCCAGCGTGGGGCGGACCGAGGGCTCCTCCGAGCGGGGCGGGGTGGAGGCTGAGCCGTCCCTCCGCGGGACCCGGCGGGGAGCGTGGGTACCGCGCGGCCCCGGGGCGCCGTCTCACTCCCGCTCTCACCCCGCCCCAGCGACCATGCCCCGCAAGGGCACCCAGCCCTCCACCGCCCGGCGCCGAGAGGAAGGGCCGCCGCTGTCCCCGGACGGCGCCAGCAGCGACGCGGAGCCAGAGCCGCCGCCCGGCCGTGCGGGAAGCCCGGCCCCTGATGCCGCAGGTGAGTCGCCCGCCCGCCCAGACTCGGCAGGACCGCGCGCGGGGACCCCGGTGGGCCCGCGCCCCGCCCGGGACTGGCCGGGTTACTTGGCGAGAGCAAGAGGGGCTGCAAGGGGGGCGTCCCGGGATGCGTATGGGTCCGGTAGGTCGGCTCCAGAGAGCGATTCGGCGATTTTCGGAGACGGGACTGTGCACTTTCAGGGTAACGGGACCGGAGGGGATGGGGGCGAGTCAGTGGCTTCGGCTGTTGACTCAATTTCTGTTTGTGGCCTTGTTATTTCCGCGGAAATGGGCCGGGTCAGCCAATGGCCGGTGGGCTTTTTTTTTTTTCCAGGCGTAATCAATGTACAGTATTAATAAAATGGAAAGTTGCTTGACCCTAACCTCGCTTCTGTGGCCTTAAAGTTAGATTAAAGAGAAGATGATCATTTACTCGAAGCCACCGTAGCCTTTGTGAGTCCAGTGATGAGATGACATTATGAAACCCTTGTGACTGTCGGTGGGGCTCGGGAGTGGAGTTTCCAGGAGCTCAAATACGGGAACAGTTGGATCTAGAGCCTTAGGATTTAACCACCCGAATGGGAGGCAGCAGGGAATCGGGTTGCTGTGGTTTTCCCAGCTTGGCTTTATGATGGATGTAGTGTTTTGACTCCTAAGAAGTAGATTTGTATAGGTTTTTGTGACTGGTGGCATTCCTTTGAAGAATTTTTTTACTAAAATCAAGATGAAAGATTCTGATCGCCTTTGAGCTTGGATAATACTATTTAAGTGGAAAAGAGAGATTCCTGTGTTTCTTAAATAACATCTCTCCAGAGATTAGTAGGCTCTAGTCCTCAGAACGAATTGCACTAATGCAGGCTTCCCCCCCACCCCTCGCTTTGCCTTTCCTTTCCTTTGACTGACTTAGAGACTCCAAGTGAGGAAATTGATAATAGAAGTTTAGAAGAGATTTTGAATAGCATCCCTCCTCCCCCGCCTCCTGCAATGACCAATGAAGCTGGAGCTCCTCGACTTATGATAACGCACATTGTAAACCAGAACTTCAAATCCTATGCTGGGGAAAAAATTCTGGGACCTTTTCATAAGGTATTTGACCATTTTAAATAACTACTGAAAGATAATGAGTCGTTATTACAAGATATTTCAATTTTGTACCAGTAACTATTATATTTATCCTGATTGATGCATACCTGGTGTTTGCTTTTAACAACAAATTAGCTTTATCTGATTATATTTGGTACCTCTTTACCTATTATAAAGTTGTTTTCACTGAATAGAATTGGTGAGTTTTTTGTTTGAAGGAGTATTTTCTCTTTACTATTAGAATGAATTTTGTAAAAAGTTAGAATTAGAATGTGGACTTTTTAAAGTGTTAAAGCTTCTGACAAAGTAGTAAGAAAATTTAAGTTGTGTTATGTAGCAATGAAAACCAAAATACTTGTAGATTTGCTGCTTGTTAAAGAAATCAAGTTGTTTAAAATCGGTAGTATGACCTTTTAAACTTCACTTTGATTTTTTTGTTCTGTTCTTTTTATGCAGCGCTTTTCCTGTATTATTGGGCCAAATGGCAGTGGCAAATCCAATGTTATTGATTCTATGCTTTTCGTGTTTGGCTATCGAGCACAAAAAATAAGATCTAAGAAACTCTCAGTACTAATACATAATTCTGATGAACACAAGGATATTCAGAGTTGTTCTGTGGAAGTTCACTTTCAAAAGATAATTGATAAGGTAAGGGACTTTGTCTAGTTATTTGCAGCTTTGAGTAAGGAATACAAATAATTTTAATACATCGCACGTTTTATTTTTGGCTTAAATTTGGGTTTTAAAGTTAGTGTCTGGTTAAAGCAGAACAGATTATTGATTTAGTTACCTCCATGACCATATTTTCTTTTTGAGTAGTGGTGGAGGTAGCTGTTAAACTTAAAATATTAAAATTTTTAGCCAGGAAAATTAATTTTAAGTAGCTCATAGTAAGTAGTTGGTGCTTACCTTTTTGGAATAAAATATCAAGCAGTTTTAATGTTCTGAGCGCCAAATAGGCATTCTTCTCCTATGCATTTTTGGTTTTTTTAAGTTATATTTTATTGCTTTCAGATGAATTACCTAAACTTGAAAATGTAACAGTTGCCTAAATTTAACCATCTGTTATTTCAGTTCACATGAAATCGAATGTTATTAGTAGTTCTGTGTATCTGATATGAAAGAGCTTTGATTCGGTTTAAACTACCCTTTCAAAACAGGAGATGGGTCAAGCTAACACCTTTGTTTTCTAGAAAAGGAGACAATTATAGGTAAAATGTTCAAATTATTTACACGGTTTTGTTGGTATAGGGTTTTTTTCTCTTCTGATTAATAATTAACTTTGAAAATTCATGGTTGAAAAATGGCCAGAACCTAAAAATATAGAAATTTAATTACACAATGAGAAGAAATGTGACTTGGCTCATAGGTTTTAATTTGTTTTTGTTTTTTAAATATACAGGGCTTTAAATCTACACAGTGGCATCTATTTTAATTTTGTTTCTTAGGTTTTTTTCTCTCTTTTTGTTTCTTAGGTTTTTATTGTACAATTTGAATTGGATAATAGATTGCTAATATATCAGATTTTGTTCCATTGCCTATTAGGTACATTTGATTCATGTAAATTTTAAGTCATAATTTCAAAATGACAGCTTTTCAAGGGAAGTGAGTTTAAATAAGGTAGATTTGTGCTTCACTTTTTAAATCTGATTCTTTTTTAATGTGGGGAATACAGTTGTCAATTTTTTACAATTCTTTTTACCTTCAATTAAAAGTATATTTCCCCTCCCCCTCCGGGGAAAAAAAAAAAAGCCGTATCACCTCATTACTGCTTGCCTTCTTTTTTTCCTTTCATTCTTTGCAGATTTTTTTAATGGACTAGTAATTTAATCTATCAACATGATTTAATAATTCATGTGAGTTTGTTTTGGATATAGTCAGATTCTTGTCCCCATTCATCAACTCTTTTTCTCAGTCAAACGTTTTTTAGGCTTGTTTGCAGGGGGAGGGGGGGTTGTTTTGTTTTCATTTATTTGGTTTGGCTTTTTGGTTTTTGTGATCTCTGAGGAAGGAATCAAACAACTTTGAAAAGTATTCTTTACTAAGAAGGTTATTTCTGAGAACTATTGCAGGTTTATGTGCATGTTCTTTAAAATTTTTAATCCATATAATTAGTTTCAATATGACGTGAGTAAAATGTGGAGCAGTAACTTAATACCAAAATTGTTTTCTGGTTTTGTTTTTCCTCAAAACAGGAAGGGGATGATTATGAAGTCATTCCTAACAGTAACTTCTATGTATCCAGGACGGCCTACAGAGATAATACTTCTGTCTATCACATAAGTGGGAAGAAGAAGACATTTAAGGATGTTGGAAATCTTCTTCGAAGCCATGGAATTGACTTGGACCATAACAGATTTTTAATCTTGCAGGTAAGTTTATTAAAGACTTTAGAAGTCCTCTTATTCCTGTTATTTTTGTGGGGGGGGTTGTTTTTAGTTTTTTTGTGTGTGGTGTTTTTTTTTGTGTGTGTGTGTGTGTGTGTGTGTGTGTGTGTGTGTGTGTGTGTGAGTGTGTGTATTTTTTCCCCAATAAAGTTTAGGGGGAATACCCCTGTTGGATGAATCCTGTATTTTTAGGCCTTAAAGTACTATAGCAGCACATCATGGTTTACATACTATAGTCAAGATGCGAATCATTATTTGCTGCTCTAGAAATTTAAGGAAATTCACTCAAAACTGTATTTTCATCATCAGATGCTCATGTTTGAGTGGACTGACATACTTGTTCCGCTCTAGCAGCACGTAAATATTGGCGTAGTGAAATAAACATTAAACACCAATATTATTGTGCTGCTTTAGCGTGACAGGGATATAGCAACTACTTATCATTTTTGTTTGTATTTCCCTTTAAGATAACATTTTAAATGAGATTCATTATCTCCTAATACTTATTTTCCTTTGCTCTTGTTCTTATTCTTATTTCTGCTAATGTTATATAGCCACACAAAAAAAGACTCTGTACACTTGGTGTTTTCTGAATTTACTTGAGCATCTAGCTAATTTAATTTAATATCTTTTTTTTTTTTTTAACACTTAGAATGGTTAAAAGCTTTACTCAAGTTGGTTTTTGTTTTGGTTAGAATGGCCTATTTGAAACCACTATTGGAAGATCAGAGAGTAACTGATATTTCATTCTTAAGTATCACGACTGTTAACGTTTTTTTTAAAGGGGTATAAAATTAAATACCTGGTGTTAAGTTGATTTTTATTAGAAAACCTGTATTCTTTATTTGGGTAAGGGTATATTCTACCAGAATTGCTTGGTAAAAAAAAATCCCTTCTTTATGTACTACTTTCTTAAAAAGTTTTTAGTGTAAAGCATAGCTTTGTCAGGTGTATTAAAAAAAAATTTTGAGGCTCTCTTTTTCTGTGCCCTGTCCAGAATCACCAAGAGTATTATAATTAAAGCAAAAAACTGTATTTTGACATAGAAATAGTTGCTAATATTCTTTAGTATCTTGTCCTATTGATTTTACACTAAATTGGGAATTTTTATTTGATACTAAAAGTTTTGTTAGGATGACGTGAATGTTCCAATAACAAACTTACAAAATGTTAACCCCTTTTTTCATTTTTTATCTTTGTTCCTCAACTATATTTTTAAAAGAAAATATTACTTTTAGACATGCACAGTGTATGTACAAGGTAAATAAGAATCATTCTGAAATGACTTATATTAATACCTTTTGTTACCAGGCACAGTACATTTGTAATACTTCTATAACCCAAACTAATTTTTTTTAAATGTTGGGAAGTCAGCTCTGGATCTAAGATTTGAGTTAACACAACGTGGAATTAAAACTTTGTAGGGTTTTTAACAATAAAATTTAACTGTTTTGTGGACTTTATGTTTTGAAATTCGGTTTAATTAATTATGGATGAAAAGTTATATCCCTTTATAATAATAAATTTGATAATTATACCATTTTGCAAGAATCGTATCTATTGTTTATAATTTGCTATTTACTGTTTTCCTGGGATAATCAAAGTTTAACACATGTGCAAAGACATTAAAATAAAGTGGGCTGCATTTTAATCCTTGTAAGAGTAATTTTTTTCCTTGGTGCAGCCTCTCTCCATAGTTCAATAATAAAGGAAGTTAAATAACGTAACAGCTTCCCAAAAAAAATAAGAATAATTTTTAAATTGTCAACTTTATATTAACTATGTATTTCTCAAGTACTTAAGATACTGAAGCCATTTGTCCTCATGATAATATCAATCTTTTTATGTCATCTTAACAATTAAATTGTTTTAAATATTTTTAATGCCAAGGTAACTTTCCAAGTTAACAGATTAAATTCCATTTGATTAAATTTACAAGTAAGAACTTTAGGAACTCACCTGGTAGGAAGAAGAAAGGGATTAGACTAGGTAGAACTAATGATGCCTCATTTAAAAGTTTGAGGGAAAGTTGCAGTGGTTACTATGGATTTTTATTTAGTTCCTTATCAAAATCTTCGATTCCTGTACTAGAGATTTAAAGCATTTGAAGGTAAGTAAGAATGTGGTTTTTATTCCTTTCCCTCCCACTGAATAACATTTATCTTAAAAACGAGCTGTGGTTTGGGAGGCTGGATATGTAGAGATATCATAATACCACCATCTAAGACATAAGTGATTACTTTGAATAAAATGTATACACTGGCCAGGGATCATGTTCAGCAGAAGTCCATAGGGTGAATTTTTTTTTACAGTGTTTATATTGTTTTAGTACATTCTTCTAGAATACATTTCTAGTATTTGAAACCATTTAAAGTTTTATCAGTTGATCACTCAAATGAGTACCTAATGAAGAGTACTATGCTAAGATGCTATAAATGATACAAAGATGGTTAAATCCTGTTCTTGTCCTTACGGGCACTTACTACATGCTTTTATAAGGTGTTTGATAATAATTGACCATTGTACTTTCCATATTTGAACATTCATTTATATATACCTGATTTGGGAGCCTTTGTCTTATTATAATACCTATCGGTGTAACAGGTAGGTTTTGATTAACTCTGAAGCATTTTGTGGTGATTATGACTTATAACTTAGGTTTAGTTGATTTGGATGCATTTGCTCCCTTCAAGGCGTCAAACTTTTCAACTTCATATGCTTTGTGTTTATATTAAAATTTTTTCATTAAAATTTAAGACAAGAATCAAGATTTTTTTCTTATTATTTAATAATTTGGAGATTAGATTAACTTAGGTCTGAATTGTTAACCTATCCATCTCTTTCCAGGATAGTTCTAAGTCTGGCATGACATACAAACTATTTGGGTTACGGTCTTTTAGTCTGTAGAAATAAGTCTTTGCTGGATCAATGAAATTTTTAACTTTATCAGTAATACCTCAGTTACCCAAAAGTATCTTGTTCAACAGCCTTAACTATGAAAGAAAATAGGCTACTCAGAAGCAACCAGAAATGATATCAAGCAGTCCAGCCACTAAAGCATCATCCTTTCTATTAGTATACTTATTTTAGACAGATAATGATTTTCTCTCATCATTGATGTTTCTGCCTCTTTCCCTCTCCCACCCTCTCTGAAATCAATAAAAAAATATTTTTAAAAGATAAAGGACATTAATTTACAGTGAAAATGGAGAAAATAAAAAGATTAAGACTAGATAAAAATTTAAAGTTCAATAATTAGGGGCTATTTGTGATGCAAACACTCATGTCTGTCTTTAGAATCTTGTAGGCCTTATTAGAGAGGGGAAAGTTTTTTTCTTGAGTTCCTGTGGTTCATGCTTTTGCTAAAATTTGAATTTTTTGAAAAAGAATCATACCTACTTACTCCTCATAGATTTTTATGTTGTATTCCTGTAAATTAAATTACCAAAGAATGGTATAGCTGAATCACAAGAAGTTAATATTTAAGCCTTTGTAGTATAAATATTCTCTTGAAGTATGCTTGCTATTCCTGTGATACTCTTAGAAACCATAGTTGAGCCCTGGCCGGTATGGCTTAGTGTTTAGAGCAGTGGACCGTGCACTGGAGGGTCGCTGGTTTACTACTCAGTCAAGGGCATGTACCTGGATTGCAACCGCAGTTCGATCACGGACCCTGGTTGGGGCTCTTGTGGAGGGCAATCAATGTGTTTGTCTCACCTTGATGTTTCTCCCTCTCTCTTTCTCTCTCTTCCCCACTCTCCCTCCCTCCCATGGTCTGTAAAAAATGAATGTAAAAAATCCTTAGGTGAGGATTAACCAAAAAAAACACATAAAAACATTGTTGATATTTTCCACAGTTTAATGTCTCTGATATATTTTGAACCTAATTTAAAGCAGTCTGTAATAAATAATAGCAAAAAAATAAGTCAGATTGATGCTTTAAAATTATCTCTCAAATGTATTTTTATTGTCCTAAAATTAAAATTATGTTTTATAATTTCCCGTGGAATAGGTAACATCTCTGCAAAATAAAGATATGGTCCTCTGGGCACAGATTATCAACTCACATATTATATATAAAATGGCACAAAATGGAAAAAGAAATAAGAAAGCAAATAGTAGAAGGTGGTAAGGCAGGCAAAGGACATAAAGAAACAGACACAAGAAAAGTCCAAGGTTGCCATTGGAATGCCATAGCAGTCCTAATAGTCAAGTGACAAGTAGAGGCCTAAATGTTCTCACAGCTTGTTGATTCAATAGTGTTAATCTGATAACTGGTAAAAAAGTAAATTTTTTGCATGCCATATAATAAAACAATCTAAAACTGAATGGTATATGGGACTTGAGATGGAACTATTTGGATTCATAAATGCCCTTGGCTTTCATGTTGATACCTATTTTCAACTGGGCAACCTTGTTGATGAAAAGAAATTACAACTGTATGTTCTTCATTTTAATTGAGGGAGGAGGGAGGAGGAACAAATAACCAAAAATAAGTAACTACTATGCCCAAAGCTGGGCAGTTTCCTAATACTGGTAGTCCATCTCTTCAGTGAGTAATTTGGCCAGGAAAAATGTGATGTCTTTAGGAATATTTTTATCAATGTAAACTGGTATATTGAATACCAACTTTTGGTTATCTGAAAAATGTACACTGTGCCATTTGACTCAGATATGAGTTTTCTTGGCATAGTTTTAATATCAGGCATCAGCTATTATATTTGTTACTTGGATTATTAATATTAACCCAAAAGATTTAAACAAGTATATCGATGGTTCTCAGCTGAGGGTAGTTTTGCATGGAGACAATCTAAGTTATTACAGCTGGGGAAGGGGAGATGCTACTGTCTTCTAGTGGCTCAGGGTCAGAGATACTATTAAACATCCTAAGAAGCCTAGCATAGCTCCCCACAACAAAATATATCCAGTGCAAAATGTCAGTAATGTCAATGTTGATAACCTTGCTTATAAAAATTTTGAATAACACGGCTTCTACAATGGCTGGGATTCACCCTATTGTAATGCAAAGCTTTGGATATTTTTGTCCAGACTTAAATTTTGTCTAAAACTTAAACTATTGCTGCAAATATTTGGAAAGAACTAGTCACTGAAAGCAGAATAAAATAAATACTTAATGTAAATAAGTGCCTACATATTTTAAACACTAATTCATACATACTGAAGATTACAGAAAATATAAACAGGCTCTTTAGATAACATTTCACTTTGTATTTGATAATCATGTGCTCCTTTGTTGTCAAAGTAGAAAATGTGATGATGATGTATAAATATTAAAGATTATTCCTGTCAATGAGTAGATTTTAAAATGAGATGTTTTATCTTTAATTTTTTTAACTTTTCATAATTATGTTGAGGCTTTTGGTAAATAATGACGCTTTTTCATGATCAAGTTTTACCCCAAATTTTTAGAGTTCATTCATAAATAAATATTTAAATTGAGAAAGAGTAATATGTTCGTTTTAAATGTGTAAATTTTTTTCTTTTGTCTTTGCTATTTTTCTGAAATAAAGGAATATTGTTGTTTTTTCTACTAGCCTGTCCCTTCTGTTATAAATAGGATGTAGAGTACAAGCAGGCTACTTCTCTGAAGTAAAGTAGCAGCATTTTGTCTGAGCATGTTTAGACAAAATTTTCTCTACTACCAAACCAAATGACTGCCTGGCAGTCAGCCTTAAAGGTTACTGGTTGTGGATTTCTTTCTTCTTTTCTCTTTGTAATTAAACTACATAAATACTAATATGTAATGTTCTTCTAAGATTTTAATTACAATTCAAAATTTAGCATTAATGATTGCAAACAAAAGTTTTTCAGTGTCATGTAACAGGACCTTTAGTTTTCAGTCAGTTGGATTTCTTCTATTATTACCATGAGAAAAATAGGTCATTTCCTTTTCCAGTTAATAGTGTTGCTTTTAGAAAGTGAGAACTTTGAGGCATCCTTATGAAGCCCAGCACTTGAGCAACTTATAATACCAGATTTATATAGAAAGTTTAATAATATTAACCACCTTGAGACAGGATAACCATTGAAGGGTCTTTTTAAAAATTCCTGGTTTTAAAGCAGGAGCTCTAATTATATTAGTAGTTGATAATGTTTCCACAATAATCAAATTGTAGATTATATGAATAACAAACTTGCTTAGTAGAAAAGTTAATAGTTTTATTTGTATTGAATGAACATTGTAAACAGGGGATCTTCCTTTGCCTCTGTGTATATGTGGGTGTATACTACAAGAGTTTATACAAGGGAGTATAAATACACATTTCTTAACCCCTTATGTGAAATTTAAATTGTCAAGAATATCAGTGGAGAGAAGTTTTTTTGTTTTGTTTTTAAATTTCATAGAGGAAGAGGGAGAGAGATAGAAACATCAATGATGAGGGAGAATCATTGATTGGCTGCCTCCTGCATGCCCCCCACTGGGAATCTAGCCCACAACCCAGGCATGTACCCTGACCTGGGAATCAAACTGTGACCTCCTGGTTCATAGGTTGACACTCAACCATGGAGCCACACTGGCCGGACAAGGGAACATTTTTTATTTGTATCTTATTAAATCTCCAAACTACTGATTTAATAAATTTAATTGTTAGTTATTAATGGATTTGTTAATTGTTCCTAATTTAAAGTTGATGTAGCTAAACATACACAATGAGTGTAAAATACGGCTTTTTTTAAAGGGTGAAGTTGAACAGATTGCTATGATGAAACCAAAAGGCCAGACTGAACATGATGAGGGTATGCTTGAATATTTAGAAGATATAATTGGTTGTGGACGGCTAAATGAACCTATTAAAGTCTTGTGCCGAAGAGTTGAAATATTGAATGAACACAGAGGAGAGAAGGTGAATCTCTTGTAGATTTTTGTTTAAATCAGAATGTTTCATTTATTAACAAATTTTAGGAATCAAATATTTAAGTTACTATAGATTTTAATTGAAAAATGTTTGCTATTTTAGATTGAATGTTATATTTTTTATTAACATTTTAATGCAGTTTATATGTTTTATCTCATTTTGGCATATTTTAAATTCAGGTTGTACATTTGAAGTGTTTTTTTTAACAATCTATACACTATTGATTTTTGTAGTTAAACAGAGTTAAGATGGTGGAAAAGGAAAAAGATGCCTTAGAAGGAGAGAAAAACATAGCAATTGAATTTCTTACCTTGGAAAATGAAATATTTAGAAAAAAGAATCATGTTTGTCAATATTACATGTAAGTACCTTAATGTATCTGACAGTAAGTCAAATCCCGTTTTCTTTTCCTATGTTAGAGAGATGTGAAGTATAAAAATTATTTTATGTGATATTCATTAAATTGCGGTTGTTCACCATAGTATTAAAGTTGACTTTTAAAGAATCCTACTTTAAGTTGGGAAGTGGGCTCACAAGTATTTGTTACTATACTTAATAGTTTTATATATACTTTTTAATTCCTGTGACAGACATAATTTTGTTTATAAATGGAACCTATTTTGTTCCACCTAGGTTGCTATTCCCCCTCCCCCTTTTTTCCATACACACATCCTTCAATAGCCCCAGGTTTTTGTAAATTGGCTGTAGTTAATAATATTTTAGAAATGGCTAGTTTTACTAAAATCATTACATAATTTTAAAAATGACATTTTGGCATCTCCAATTTCTTTTTCTCCCTCTAGTCATGATCTGCAGAAACGAGTTGCTGAAATGGAAACTCAAAAGGAAAAAATTAATGAAGATACCAAAGAAATTAATGAGAAGAGCAGTATGCTATCAAATGAAATGAAAGCTAAGAATAAAGCTGTAAAAGATGTAGAGAAGTAATAATTTTTTGGAAAGTAGTACTAGAAGTATTTAAATTCAGTTAATTTTATTACCTGTATGTGTATGTGTCTATATATAAACTTGTTGGCAGCACATAAGTATAATACATTTGCCAGCATATAAAATGGTCTCCTTTTGCAGACAAAAACGAAACATTTAATTGCCCTGCATCCAGTACAGTCATCATTACAGATTTGAGTGCTCAATGCTAAAGTCTTAAAATAATGGAGGATGCTACCCCCTTGTGGCAGAATTCCATAAACAAAACCTCACAGCAAAAATAAGTATTTATTAATCTGACGGATTGTTTTAAGAATAAAGAGTTCACAGATGTAATTGAGGTAGAATTGGGGTTATTTTAGGTAAGATTTGTTTAAATGTTTTGTTCATGGCTTTTTTATGCTAACATTTAATGAAATTAATATCTCTTACCTATGATTTTTCTTTTTTATTCTTTAAGTTTTATGATAAAAAAATTTTATGCCTAGATATCGTAGTCCATGGGGAATGTAGTATTTCCCATCCAGCGTAGAAGGGCAAAATAACTCTCATAATCACTTACTGGCTTCCTCAAATATGGGGGGGAAGGTAGGATCAACTTGAAAATAGGCTATTTTAGGACCCTACCTTTTAAAGGCTTGGATACGTTTATAGAGGAAATATCCCAGGCAGGGTATAATATGCCTTAAATACTTGAATATCCAAAAATAACGATTGATTATTTTCTTGCTTTGCTAGGAAACTGAATAAAATTACAAAATATATTGAGGAGAACAAAGAAAAATTTACACAACTAGATTTGGAAGATGTTCAAGTTAGAGAAAAATTAAAACATGCTTCAAGTAAGGCCAAAAAACTGGAGAAACAACTTCAAAAAGATAAAGAAAAGGTGGGTTTTAGGGAAAAATTTCTAAAAATTTCTTAAAATTTAATGTCTGCATATCAGATCTAGATTTTATGATTTTTTATGGATGTGCTTGCCCCTTATTATCTAAGAGAGTGCGTGGGGATTCTGAATATTGTGTTTAAGATTCATCTCTGAAACTGATGCTTTCCCCAAAACATTCATTGAATTTGAGTTTTAGAGCATGTTTCTGATAAACGTTGGAGAAACATTATTCTTTGTTATGTATTATAGACTTAAAAGTATTGCCTACCTCTTACAAAAATTAAATTGAGTTCCTCCTTATAAAGGAGGGAAGGGGGAACTGGTAATTTACAACGAAGTGTTTTTATTAAAAAAAACAAAAAACAACTTTGGATCAGAATGCCTACCTTGCTAGGGGCCAGACTCTAATAATTAATTTGGGACCTTTTCTAACTATGCTCATTGCTCTATCAGATACTAATAGATATGACACCTAAGCACTTTTCCCCAAAAAAAGCTTTTTACCATGTAATTACACAGTAATTATAATATTGGCTTTGTTTTACCTTATAAGCATTTTCTAAATGTATTTGTTCACAAAATACTTTCTGCTTGGTATAATGACAAATCTTACATGAATCAATGTTTGAGGAACATCATTTAAGGAAATGTTGAACTTTGCTAGTACTAGATCATCAGAATAAACAAAATACCATATGGATTTGGGAGTAACCCCTAAATTGGACAAATAGCCAAATGTAACTGTTATATAGTTGGCCTTTAGGCATCAAATGTGGGTAAGTGGTTATTGGTAGTAATGGAATGAAATAGTAGTCCTACATGGTAACTCCGGAAGGGTAAAGTTGTGAAAGATCTTAGGATTTGAGGGAAGCTACGGGGTATACTAGTAAAGGTAATTTGTGGTAAGTTTTAATGTACTATGATGGATAGTTTTAAGAGATCTCATGTAGTCCGAGCGTTTTAATAGGTGAAAGGATAATTATCGCCTGAAATTGACCCAGGCAGGGAGAATTTTATTCATAAGGAATCAGGGATTCATAGAATTAGCTTTACCATTAGAATGAGATATAGAAATTTCAGTAAATGGTTAAGAAAATACTTGCAGATATCCTTTACAGATACCCTTTTCTATCACAGAGAGAAAAAAGTACTTGTTGAAACCAACTAATTCAAATCTAAATACAGTAGTATTAGATGCCTTAGACACATGCTCCTATACCTTTAATTTGTTTTATAATCTTAGGTAGAAGAATTTGAAAGTATACCTGCCAAGAGTGAGAGTATCATAACTGAGACAACAACTAGAAAGAATACCCTTGAGAAGGAAAAAGAGAAAGAAGAAGGAAAATTAAAGGAAGTGATGGATAGCCTTAAACAGGAAACACAAGGGCTTCAGAAAGAAAAGGAAGTAAGATTCATCATCACTTGGTGTTTATTTTAGTGGCTTTTTTTAACTTGATTGTTTTTGTAGTAATAGTTAAAACTGACCTGTTAGAAGAAGAAGTTTGGACCTTTAATATCTAAGCTAACATTCCTAAAAAATCTTTGTCTTTTCTGCCTTTTTTTTTATTATTATTATCTGAGTTAGAATTTATAGTGGTCACAGAAAATGTAACATGTCCAATATTTTGTTAAATATGCCATTCTTTGTTGAGTCTACTGATTTCATCATCAAATTTTCTTTTTCATCTTATTTTCTTGGTAACTTAATTGGTAACCAACTATAAAAACCCAGACACACTAAGCACACAGGTCGATATCCCATTTCTTTGCTTCTATAGCTCTTATGTAATAGTTTAAAACTACAGCCCTTATATTAGTTTTTGGTTCAAGTCATCTCTGATCTTGTATAGATTATGTCTCCAAGTCATATTCCTCAAAGTAGCAAAAAATAATACCTATCTTATGAATCTTTGTAAAAATAAAATATATGTATACTCATAAGTGCCTTGAAATTAAGAAATTAAATGTTAGATAGCTATTACATTACTTTATCATTTGATTAATGTAACGAATATTATAAGCACAAATTTTAGCTGTCTTTGTATTTCACCACGTTTTAATACAGCGGTTCTCAACCTGTGGGTCGCGACCCCTTTAGCGATTGAACGACCCTTTCACAGGGGTCGCCCAAGACCATCCTATATATCAGATATTTACATTACGATTCTTAACAGTAGCAACATTACAGTTATGAAGTAGCAACGAAAATAATTTTATGGTTGGGGGTCACAACATGAGGAACTGTATTTAAAGGGCCAGAAGGTTGAGAACCACTGTTTTAATAAGTAATGATAATTGAATTAAATTGACTTTATGTACATAAATTACAGACTTGTGTACACCCTTTGTCTTTTAATTATTCCTCAATAAAGTGTTGGTTTGTTGTTGTTTTTTCATTACAGATATAATAGATTCTATTTTGAAATAGGACATATTCTAATGTTATACTACAAAACTTTATAAGTGGGATGCCCATATGGTAAAGTGGCAATGGATAATATAGTGGCTTTCATAATGGAATACATTATGAATGTAGTTTTCACATTTGTTCAACTAATGTATACTGAGTATTCCCATGTGCCTTTGTACCCTTTGTTAGTGAAAAAGCCAGGACTCACATTCAGGTGTCTTCATTCCTCAGCATTAGCTAAAAAAAAGAGGCTCCGCCATTTATGGGGGAGTGCTTTTGAACAAATTATTTAAACTCTGATCTCAGTTTCCTCAAAATGAACATAATGATGGTATTTACCTCATAGAATTGTTATTTCATGGAATTAACAAATACCAAAGGCATTCAAAATAGTGTCTAGAATATAGTGAGAGAGGGGTGTGTTAGTGTTCGTGAGTTTCGCCATCAAACATTTAAACCATCTGATGACGTTGGATGGACCCTCATGTTTCTGGGCCTATTCCTTTTTGTATGAAATGAAGGGGCCTTTTGTAAGGGCCTTTCTTAAACCATTATTCTAATACATAGGCTCTTTCTACACAGCCCATCATAGTAGCCCAAAATTTCTACACATCAAATAATGACGTGTTGAGGATTACCCTGACCTTACCTCTAAAACTTTTAAAGATGTTTAACACAAATATACTTGAGGGAACTTTCTGCTGAATAGTCCTTAGACCTTACCATTTCAGGTAAAGTGATGTATAAAGGCCATGGGATCCAGAGTTTAGACCCAAACTTTTGTTCTCTTAACCACTATTACGTTTTAACTAGAGACCCGGTGCATGACATTCGTGGGGGGACATCCCCCGAGGGGTCCTTAGCACTGCTGCAGAGGTGGGAGAGGCGCTCACCAGCCATGAGCCTGGCTTCTGTGGGAGCGTCTGCCCCCTGGTGGTCAATGCATGTCATAGTAACTGGTCATTCTGCCATTCCGTCTATTTGCATATTAACCTTTTGTTATATAGGATATAGGACTTCTAAAATGAGCATACTAATATATACCTCATTAAGCTCTTGTGAAATCAGTTGGGAAAGATTATATACAGCAAAACAGTCCATTCCTCTTGTAAGAATTATTTAACTGTATATATTATGCTTGTAGAATCTCTTAAGTTGAATTCAAAATACATGGTTTCTATTTCAGTTTAAGTTTGAAAACACAATATGATGTCTTATCATATTTTAACAGAGTCAAGAGAAAGAACTTATGGGTTTCAGCAAATTGGTAAATGAAGCCCGTTCAAAGATGGATGTAGCCCAGTCAGAGCTTGATATCTATCTCAGTCGGCATAACACTGCAGTGTCTCAATTAAGTAAAGCCAAGGAAGCTCTAATTGCAGCTTCGGAGACTCTCAAAGAAAGGAAAGCTGCAATCAGAGAGATAGAAGCAAAACTCCCTCAAACTGAACGCGAGTTAAAGGAGGTAAATCTTGGCTTCTGTATTTCACCTGAACATCGTTTATCAACCCAAGTTTTGTATATATGTTTTTCTTATTTTTTAATTTCAACATTTGAGGTGACTGGTTACAGATGGTCCCCAACTTAGGATTTTTTAACTTTATGATGGTGTGAAAGTGATAAACATAAGTTACATGAGATATTTAACACTTGATAATTAAGTAGACTTTGTGTTAGATGATTTTGCCAAACTGTAGGCTAATGTAAATGTTGGGAGCACATTTAAGTAGGCTGTGGTGTTCGGTAGGTTAGGTGTATTAAATGCATTTTTTTAGTTAATGGTATTTTCAACTTCCAGTCAGGTTATTGGTATGTAACCCCATCCTAAGTCAAGAAGCATTTGTATAGATTTTTTGTTTTCATTTAGTGTTAATACTGCCCAAAAGAACGGGGCTAGTAGTATAGTATTCCAACTGATAAGAACTGAGACTATCAAGAAACTTGCTGTATTCTACCCAGGATCATCGAACAGCAAATAACAATGCTACCACCACCATTATTTCCCATGGAATTTAAACAAAAAGAAGTTTGTGTTTCCCTACATCTATGTCTAGACAACTTACGCAAGAATAAATGGAAAACCATAAATATCTCTGTGAATGAATATGCAAATTAACTATATTAATGTAATTTTTTAAAATTTATGGATGTGGTTTTATTGTTGGGACTAGAAACTGTTTTAAAGTAATCAAGATAACCTAGTTTAGCCCATTGGTGCTCCTATTCTTGAGTGAATTATCTATCTAAGGAACTTCGTAACTTGAATCTTCCAAAAGCCTCATTAGGCAAGATGGCAATAGAAAGTGCTATCTGAAGAGAAACTATAATTTTGGAAATTGTTTTTATTTTTTCCCCTATTTTAGTACATGTACACTACTTGGTCATCTGGGAATTTCTTGATCATGTAGAATTTAAATGTAAACTTAAATTATATCCAGTGACCACTTCTTATCTCCTCCCTAGTAATTCAGTTTATTTTTGGATAAGTTGTAACTATAACTCAAGCTTTTACTTTATACTAGTGTGACTCGTAATAGAGGTGATAATTTAAAGCCAGGAAATGAGAATGTCAGTTAGAAAAAATGGCTGCTCTAAATTGGAGATTTAGCAACTGGGAATTTGAATTTTTGTGTGCATGTGGGTGGTTCCTCTTCTTTTGGCAGTCTGACATTTTTGTATAGCAGTATAATTCACTCATCATGTGCCCCTTCATTTTAGAGCTCTGCTTTTTTAATGTTTTTTTGTTTATTTAATAAATGTTCATTATTATTTAGAAAGCATAACACAGTATAACCATAGTCCTGCCGGGGTCACCCATATTTAGGGCCTTGTACAAAGCCTGCTTTCTTATTAGTACAGAATTTAAGAGTTAGGACACATTATGCATAACTGTGTGGCTTCAAACTGGGATTTCCACAGCCCCGGCACTACTTGCTCTTATCAGTCAGTACATTGCTCCTAGAACCATGCTGCATATATCTTCATTATCCAAACAATTTATGCCCTTTTTAACATAGAAAATCCATCCACATTTTTTCAAAACCAAACCAGCATTTGCAGTATGGTCCCTTAGTTCTGGTTTAAGTGTTTATTGTTGGCCTTTTCTTTTTTTGAGGCATTACAGTTAATTCTGTGCTGTGATTTAGGCATAGAATTATGGGATTCATTTTGTTTTGTTTTACTTTTCACTTTTAGAAAGAAAACGAACTTCAAAAACTTACGCAAGAAGAAATAAAATGCAAAAGTTTGGTTCGTGATCTTTTCCAAAAAGTTGAAGAGGCAAAGAGTTCCTTAGCAATGAATCAAAGTAGAGGGAAAGTCCTTGATGCAATAATTCAAGAAAAAAAATCCGGCAGGATTCCAGGAATATATGGAAGATTGGTAAAGTAGATTTATTTGGAAATAACTACACATTTTTCTCTCAAGAAAAACATTGTAAATAATTGTCTTGCCTTGACTTAAAGAAGTGTATATTGAGTGTCACTGTATAAAATAACATTTTTATTTATTTTATGAAATAAATCTTCATGATGAACAAGTGTCACAGTGGCAGCCAGCTGCCATTTGAAGTCACACTAATTTAAATGTAACTGCTTTATTGATTTTTAGAGCAAGAGGGAGGAAGGGAGGGAGACATCGATGAGAGAGGAACATCATTATCAGCTGCCTCCTGTACACCCCCTACTGGGGATTGAGCCCTCAACCGAGGTACATGGCCTTGATTAGAATCAAACCCAGGACCCTTCAGTCCACAGGCCAACACTGTATTCGCTGAGCCAAAATGGCTAGGGCACATTTTGTTTATTTTAAAGGATGTTCAATTTTAAACATTTGTACTTACACTCAGGGATGGTAAAATTCTTGGTAGTATGGATTCTCTCAGTTAAAAAAGGGGTTGGGGGGGGGGTTTGGTTTGGATAATTATAATTTTAATTTCAAGGGAAACAAAACTTTCGTAATGGTAAACTTTAACAAAACTACTCCATACTTTTTTTTTAAGCATTTGATAATTGTATTCTGGGTTTTATACCATTATACCAAAGGATGTGCCTAGAGTTTAGGAACATCAACAAGGGATATTTAGAAACCCAAGGCTAGCAATAGTGGAGACCATTCCTGCTCCTGAGACTGAAGAGGGAAGGAAGCTGTGGCCATGACTAGAGGGTGTTCAGGAGAAAATATATATTTCAACCTGATTCATCTCCTACCCTACCCGTTTCTCTAGCTGGTGCCTCGCATTAGCTAAAGCTAGAGAGCCAAAGGAGCCAGTTGGTGCAATCCCTGAGTCAGCATTCCAGAGAAGGAAGCGGAAGAGAGTGATTCACAAGCACAAGTGAAAATTGCCCAGTATAGTAGCTTCCTATCTAAATGTTAAGTGATTTCCACCTTTTTTTCTCAAAGATACACAATTTGATCCTATTCATTTGCGTCAGGGAAAAATAAAGCTAATCAGTGAATGTTGCTTGGTAGCTAATTTATTATAGATTGATAAGTAGGCAAATGTGTTTCATTAGGATGTTCATCATCTTAGATGGCTTTGAATAATTAAGAGTTTTAAGTTACTTTGCTCATAGTACTTTTAGGTTTCAAATTCTCAGTTTTTAATTTTTATGCAGTGAAAGCAATTCTTTCATTTTATGCTTTCATTAAAAGTTTAAAATCTGCATATTCATGACCTTTTAAACAGTAGATTAAAAATTAGTTGAATGACAGGAAGACATTTTTCATTGTGTGCCCTTCTTGTACTTTTTAAATTCATGTGTAAGTATAGTTTTTCAATTAAGAGTAGTTTGCAAAATCTTTATGAATAGTTATATGATCCTGTGCCTAATTCCTTGCTTATTATACATTGATTTCTCTCCCCCTACCCCTATTATATTAGGGGGACTTAGGAGCAATTGATGAAAAATATGATGTTGCTATTTCATCCTGTTGTCGGGCATTAGACTACATTGTTGTTGACTCTATTGATACAGCCCAAGAATGTGTCAACTTCCTTAAAAGACAAAATATTGGAGTTGCGACCTTTATAGGTCTGGATAAGGTAGGTGCTCATAAAAAGCTACAAATAATTTAATTAAGTGCCAATTATTGTTTTTAAATTTTTGAATTCTAGCTTTTCATTTTTACTTCCATCAATAATTACTTTGAAAAAACAAAACCTTTATTGAAATATAGTTCACATACCATAAAATTCACCATTTTAACATATACAGTTCAGTGAGTTTTAGTATATTCACAATGCTGATTAACTGTAATTCCCAATTATTTTCATCACCCCCAAAAGAAGCCTTATGCACATTAGTAGTCACTGCCCATATTCTCCCCATTCCCCAAGGAACCTCTAATCTATTTTTTGTCTCTATAGATTGAACTGTACTGGACATGTCATATAAACGGAATCATAATATGAAGCCTTTTGTGTCTGGCTTTAACTGGGTAGATTTTCCAAGTTCACCTATGTTGTAGTATGCACTAGTACTTCATTTCTTTTTATTGCTGAATGGTATTCCATCGAATGGATATGTGCCACATTTTGTTTACCTGTTCATCAGGAATTGGCTGTTTGTGTTGTTTCCATGTTTTTTTGTTTTCAAATATATTTGTATTGGCTTCAAAGAGGATGGGAGAGAGAGAGATAGAAACATCAACGATGAGGGAGAATCATTGATCAGCTGCCTCTTGCACGCCCCACAGTGGGGATGGAGCCTGCAACCCGGGCATGTGTGCCCCTGACCAAAATTGAACCTGGGACACTTCAGTTTCAGTCCGCAGGCCGACGCTCTATCCCAGCCGTGGGCAAATTACGGCCCGCGGGCCGGATCCGGCCCGTTTAAAATGAATAAAACTAAAAAAAAAAAACGTACCCTTTTATGTAATGATGTTTACTTTGAATTTATATTAGTTCACACAAACACTCCATCCATACTTTTCGTTCCGGCCCTCCGGTCCAGTTTAAGAACCCATTGTGGCCCTCGAGTCAAAAAGTTTGCCCACCCCTGCTCTATCCACTGAGCCAAACCAGCTAGGGTTTGTTTCCATGTTTGGAAGCATTAAGGATAATGCTGCTATGAACATTCAAGTGCAAGTTTTTGTGCAGCTACATGTTATCGATTCTCTTGAGTTAATACCTAGGAGTGGAATTGCGGGGTCACATGTGAACTGTTTCTTTTTGAGGAACTATCAAACTTTTCTAGTGGCTGTACCATTTCTTTCCAAGGATGTCTGAGAGTTCCAATTTTTTTTACATCCTCAACTTAGTGAGTGTGAAATGATATCTCATTGTGCTTTTGATTTGCATTTCTGATAACTAATGATGAACATCTTTTCATGTGCTTATTGGCCATTTGTTATCTTTGGAGAAATATCTATTCAAATTCTTTGTCCATTTGTTAAGTGGTTTATTTGTCTTTATTGAGTTGTAGGAGTGCTTTAAAATATTCTGGATACAAGTCTCTTGTCAGATGTATCATTTGCAAATATTTTCTCCCATTCTGTGGGTTCTTTTCACTTTTTTGGTGGTGTTCTCTGAAGCGCAAAAATACCTTAATTTTGATAAGTACACTTTTCAAAAAAAATTTGGTTATGTTTGAGTGTCATATCTAGGAAACTAGTGCGTAATCCAGGAGCACAGTAATTTATTTCCTCTGCTTTTTCCTAAGAGTTTTATAATTTTAGCATAATTTTACATTTACTGTAGGTTTTAAATTCGTGTGGAGTTAATGTTACAATATAATGTAAAGAAGGGGTCCAACTCTACTCATTTACATGTGGATACCTAATTGTTCCAGCACCATTTCTTGGAAAGATTTACTTCCCCATTGAATTTTCTTGGTACCTTTGTTGAAAATCAACTGACCAGAAAGGTTTATTTCTGGACTCTACATTTATCTATCTTTGTACTGGTACCATACTGTCATGATTACTGTAGCTTTGTGATAAGTTTTGAAATCAGGAGTCCTCTGATTTTTATTTATTTTACTGATTTGAGAGAAAGAAACATTGATTTGTTGTTCTACGCATCCATGCACCCACCGGTTGCTTTCTATATGTGCCCTGACTGGGGATCAGACCCACAGCTTTGGCATATCGGGAGAGTGGTCTAACCAACTGAGCTACCTGACCAGGGCTCTAATTTGGTTCTTTTATATCAAGATTGTTTGGGCTATTCTGAGTCCCTATAAGTTTCATATCAGTATTCAGATTAGCTGGTCACTTTCTGCCCCCAATACACAGGCAATTGGAATTTTATTAATTTTATTTTTTAATTACATTTGACATACTATATCATTAGTTTCAGGTATAAAACAATGATTAAGCATATAATGTACAGTGATTATATAACTTACAGACCTTGATAAGCAACTGGAATTTTGATATCAATTGCATTGAGTCTGTAGATCAATTTGGATAGTATTCTCATCTTAATAATATTAAATGTTACAGTCCATGAACCTGGAATGTCTTCCATTTATGTAGGTCTAATTTCATACCATAATCTTTAAAAGCCTGCAGTAAATAGGTCTTGTGTTTCTTTGATTAAACATAAGTTTTGGGGATTTTTCTTTTTATATAAATTGAGTTTTCGTAATTTCATTTTAATTTTTTAATTGATTTCAGAGAGGCAGGGAGAGAGAGAAACATCAGTGATGAAAGAGAATCATTAATTGGCTGCCTCCTACACACCCCCAACTGGGGATCAGGACCACAACCTGGGCATGTGACCTTAACTGGAATCAAACCAGCTGGGGCTTAATATTTCATTTTCAATACTAGTATATAGAAGTACAATTAATTAATTTTTGTATGTCGATCTTGTATCCTACAATTTTGCTGGATTCATCATCAGTTTTAATAGTTTTATGGCAGGATTCTTTAAGATTTTATGTATGTTAAATCATGTCATCTTTGAATAGAGTTTTGTAATTACCCCTTTTTTTAAAATAACAATAAATATAGTAGTCCCCCCCTTATCTGAAGCTTCACTTTCTGTGATTTAAGCTACCCATTGTAGATCACAGTCTGAAAATATTAAATGAAAAAATCCAGAAGTAAACAATTCATAAGTTTTAAATTTTACACTATTCTTAGTGTGATGAAATCTCACACTGTCTTCCCAGTGGTCGGCAAACTGCGGCTCACAAACCACATGCGGCTCTTTGGCCCCTTGAGTGTGGCTCTTCCACAAAATACCATGTGCGGGCACGCACGTACAGTGCGAAGTTGACTTAAAACTTAAAAGTTTATTAAGTTAATTTTAGGGAACGTTGTCGAGTGAAAGAAGATGTAGTGTTGAGGATTGAGAAAGGTATGTTGGGATGGTTTGGACATATAGAGAGGATGAATGAAAGGAGATAGACGAAACAAGTATACAAGACAAGTGTGGATGGGAGAGTTGGAAGGTGTCGACCTCAGCGAACGTACCTCAATCAGATTGAGGACTTTTTTAGCAAAGGCCAGCTTAGGAGTACCCTAATTAGGTTAATAACAGTGTGCCTACCTATATAGTTTAAGTTTAAAAAATTTGGCTCTCAAAAGAAATTTCAATCGTTATACTGTTGGTATTTGGCTCTGTTGACTAATGAGTTTGCCGACCACTGGTCTAGGGTGCCCACACTGTATATGCTAATTGCCTGTTAGTCACTTAGTAGTCAGAACCTTTATCAGAGAAAGATCACATTTACATAACTTTTATTATAGTGTAATTATAATCGTTCTATTCTATTAGTTGTTAATCTGTTACTGTGCTTAATTTATAAATTAAATTTTATCAGAGGTATATATGTATAGAGGAAAACATAGTACAAATAGGGTTCATACTATCCGCAGTTTCAGGCATCCACTGGGGAGGTCTTAGACTATGTCCCCTGCAGATAAGGGGGGAACCACTCTACTCGATTAATACAGACACTCATAACTTTGTATACAAGTCCTTGCATTTTATACATGTGTATAACTTACGACTGTAAAATGATTTATCCTTTATTTTAATGTATATATACTTAATATTTTACTTTTAGATGGCAGTATGGGCAAAAAAAATGACCAAAATTCAAACTCCTGAAAATACTCCTCGGTTATTTGATTTAGTAAAAGTAAAAGATGAGGAAATCCGCCAAGCTTTTTACTTTGCTTTACGGGATACCTTAGTAGCTGACAACTTAGATCAAGCCACAAGAGTAGCATATCAAAAAGACAGAAGATGGAGAGTGGTGACGTTACAGGGGCAAATCATAGAACAGTCAGGTAATAGTGGTTATATTCCTATTACTGAGTGTATTTTTATTCAATCTTGTTGGGGGAAGACATCTCAGTCTGACTTCCGTCCTCTGTTCTCAGGTACAATGACTGGTGGTGGAAGCAAAGTAATGAAAGGAAGAATGGGTTCATCAGTTGTTGATGTCTCTGAAGAAGAGGTCAGCACATTTTATAGTCATACCTTTTTTTTAAAAAAAAAAAAAAAAGTTTTATTGATGTGTAGCATACATACTATAAAATTCAACCATTTTAGGTAAGATTGAATTTTCTATAATTAGATGTAGGATTTTATGTAAAGCCCTTTAAAGTTCTAAAAATAAAACTAATTAGAAAATATATATGCTCAACATATTTTTTCTATTACATTTGAATCATGGCTATTTCATAATTTATTTAACCATTTAACTTTTTTTCCCCTACAAAATCATTACTGCATTACATAGTTTTTTCTATTTCAAAATAATTCTTTAAGGTATAAGTATAGTAGAGACTTCTGAACATATTTCCAAATTTTATTTCAAAATATTTTATATGCCCATAAGTATATGAAAATGTCTGGAAAAAACTGCCATGTTCTATTTATACCCTCAGAATCTAGATGTACTTTTTTCTTATAAACATAGTTGTCCTGGATATCTGACTTTTTCCAATGAGTTATGCTTTCCTTCCCCTCCACCCCCCAGTATTTCCGTTTTTTCGATAGTTTATGTCCTTTCACTTAAGTATTTGCATAGGGTGTCTTGTGTTGACTTAGTTGTTAATCTGAAACAACTCTTGTAGAAAACTTATTTCATTGGTACTCTTCTTTGTAGGTAAATAAAATGGAATCACAGTTGCAGAGAGACTCTCAAAAAGCAGTACAAATCCAGGAACAAAAAGTACAACTAGAAGAAGCAGTAGTTAAATTAAAGCATAGTCAACGAGAAATGAGGAATACACTGGAAAAGTTTACTGCAAGCATCCAGGTACTCTTATCAGTATTAGCTGAAACTAGTGGAATTCAGTAGTAATTTGACAGAAGCATTTTGCTGTTTGCTTACAGTTTTAAAATATAAGGGAGGAAGGGAATGGATCTCTAGGTGGAGGATCTGTCATAGTGTTGCTGTAGCCATAGCCATTCCTGGTGTCCATTTGTACTCTGCAAAAATGTAGCTTTCTTAACTATGTGACCCTTTACTTTCATTCTCTTTTCAAAGTAGAATGTCTCTCAATTATAAAAAAGCAATGCATGCTCTCCATCTTCTTAAAAAACAAAACAAAACACAGTTTTCAGGAAATACTCAAAAGATATCACCCTCCATTTTTATGTATATTCTTCAACTTTTTAATATTAACGCCTAGTTTGCATGCATGTTTATGTATATGATAAATATGGATATGCATATTAAGTACACATATGGAATTTTAATGAGTCATACTAACTTTTCACTTACGAAATTAGGGTTTTCTCTCTAAGCCAATGAAAATTTACTTTGTTTGCAGTTGTGTTAGAGCCTTTTGTTTATACAATTTTAAATGTGTTTATGAATACTGCTATTTAAAATACCCTTGTTACCTTGTTAGGTATACCTTCATATACTCATCCAATTATTTCCTTAGGGTAGGTTCCTAAAAAATTAAAATTATTACTCAGTATGTGTACAATGGTTAAGGCATTTGTTGCATAAGGCCAAAATGACCTCAGAAAAGATGGTTATAATTATTTTTCCAAGTCTTAACACACTAGGTAGTCTTCAGTACATTGTAAAACGTATTCTTCAGTACATTGTAAATTACTACTCTAATATACTAGAAATGACATTTTAACTTGTCTTTGTAGTGAATTTGCCCATGATTTTATGTGTTTGTTGGCTGTTTTCATTTTTTAGATAAATTGTTCATATTTTCTGCTGTTTTTCTATTTGTATGTTGTCCTTAAAGTTTTTAAATGCCTTTTTTTGTTAATTCAAAATATTTAAAGGAAATGTTGATTCTGGGCTAAAATATTGACCTTGAATGTTAAAACTGTTCTGTAGCCTTTATCAGAGCAAGAGAAATATTTGAATGTCCAAGTTAAGGAACTTGAAGCTAATGTACTTGCTACAGCCCCTGACAAAAAAAAGCAGAAATTGCTCGAAGAAAATGTTAATGCTTTCAAAACAGGTATGTTTACAGAAACAGACCTTTTTTTTGTTGTTGTTGCTTTTAATGTTTGAAATTTTTAAAAATTGTAGTTTGTCATTTAAAAATAGCGAGTCACTGCTCTATGGTTTCTATTGTCTAATTCTCAAAGAGTTATAAAGTAGTATTAAGGTTAAATAAATAGTATTAAATTGAGAATTATATTTGACAGATAAAAAACTCAAGGCATAGAATGGTTTATATAATTTACCCAAGGTCACATAGCATATGGTGTTATAAGAATTCAAGGCAGTCTGATTCTAGAGCCCATGCTCTTAATTTTATATATTTTGTATACTTTGGCCCAGTGTTCCCTGGAAACCCTTCAAAATAGTAGTTATTTTTGTCAGTGATTTTCAACCTTTTTCATCTCAATGGCACACACAAACTAATTACTAAAATTCTACAGCACACCAAAAATACATATTTTTTTGTCCACCTGACAACGTAGGTATAATTTTTTTTATTGATTTTAGAGAGAGAAACGTCAGTACTATTTTGATTCATTTACAGCAGACAGCTATTGTGTTGGCCTTTGTCATTTTTTTATTAGATAATCTAAGGGAAAAGAGGTCAGTGCCCCTGACTAAATAGTCAAGTATTGCATGTTTTTAAAAAACCTGTGGCACACCAGTTGATAATTGCTGGGTTAAGGAAAGGATTTGTACCTTCATCAAACTCTCAAGATAACCCGTTAAAGTTTGGTTTGTGAGCCAAGGAAGGTAAATACTGATTGTCCATCCCAAAGAAGTAGTTGGGGTAAAGTTGAAACAACTATGCAAATGCTCCAAAAATGAGAGTTTTCTCCCAAAAGAAAAAGTGGTAAAAACGATGTTAAACAGACAGACGTCCACTATAGTCTTTTGTTGTGTGTAGTCATGTTTATCTGCATTTTTAATATTTTAAGGCATTCACTCAGCATCTACTAAAGTCGATCTCTTCAAGAAGCTCACACTGGAGATGGGGAAGCAAAATAACATATTGCATACTTTATCGGGTGGTGCTAAGGGATAAGTAAAACCGGGATAATGGACAGGGTAGGGGTGGGGGAGAAGGCAGATAGACACAGTGGTTAGACAGGCCTTTGCTAGAGATATTTGAGCAGAGACTCAAAGGAAGTATGAGTGCTAACCATGAGGATATTTGGGACAAGAGCATTCCAAGAAAAATGTAGAAAAGTACAAAGGCCCTCAGAGGCCGGTGTGTGCCAGAAATTTCTAGGAATACAAGGAAGCCAGAGTGGCTAGAGTAAAAAATGGCAGAGTCCAGATAATGTGGAGCCTGATAGGCCAGATCTCCAAGTGAAATAAAAAGCATTGGCGAGTGATATACAGGGAAGTGGTGTAACCTTGACAGGATTTTTCCCTTTGCATTAGGTTTTGGATCTATTTTTTGTTTTTGCAAACACATTGGCATTAGCTTTCGATGCCACACAAAAGAGTGCCAATTTTATCCTATCTCCCCCCTTCTTGTTAAAACACATGGAGGAGAACTTAGGTTAGCAAATAAAATAACCACAATTTCTTCACCACTGGCAAGCCTATTGAGCACACAGTCTAAACAGCGGTTCTCAGTCGCAACCCCTTTGGCAGTCGAACGACCCTTTCACAGGGGTCGCCTAAGACCATCCTGCATATCAGATATTTACATTACGATTCATAACAGTAGCAACATTACCGTTATGAAGTAGCAACGAAAATAATTTTATGGTTGGGTCACAACATGAGGAACTGTATTTAAAGGGCCAGAAGGTTGAGAACCACTGGAAAAGCATTATGAGACCAATAAGAGGCAAGGAAGTACCCTAAGAAAAAGTTGAAAAGATCTTTGAAAAGAGCTTGAGAGCATGAAGCCATTAAGAAGTAAATGGGTCATGTCCAGAGCTGAGCCATAGAATTTACCATGTGTTGTTATAACACTGTTTGTCTTGACATGGTGTGTTTTAGGGGGGGTTTTGAGGTGCTTTTTCCTAGATGTCTAATTTCTTTTAAATTCATTACGTTAAGTCATATTGACTGAAGAAATTTACATGTAAGTAGTGGTGTTTGTTAACCTAGAAACATGCATTAAGTTTTCAATTTTTTTTAATTTCAGAATATGACAATGTGGCTGAAAGAGCTGGTAAAATAGAGGCTGAGGTTAAAAGATTACACAATATCATCGTAGAAATTAATAACCATAAGCTCAAGGCCCAACAAGACAAACTTGATAAAATAAATAAGCAATTAGATGAATGTGCTTCTGCTATTACTAAAGCCCAAGTAGCAATCAAGACTGCTGACAGGTAGAGTATGCATAGTACCCTAACCTGCCTTCCTCTTCCCTACCTCAACATTGGAGAGGAGTTAATGATTTCATTTTATTTTTGTGTGTGTGTGGGGGGGGGGGGGGTTGTTTGTTTGTTTGTTTTTTGGTAATCCTCACTCCAGGATATTTTTCCATTGATATTTAGAGAGAGTAGAAGAAAGTCGGAGAAACAGAAGAACATCGATGTGAGAGAGACGCATCAATTGGTTGCCTCCCACACACACCCCGACCAGGACTGGGATCGGGCCTGCAACCAAGGCACCCTGAAGTCTGCAGGTCAAATCAGCTAGGGCGGAAAGGGGTTAATATTTAGTGTGCATTAAATTTTTCTGTTACTGTTACTTATTAAGCCTAGCAGACATGTTGCCTAAAAGGACTTTAGTGAGGAGAAAGCTATGCTAAACATTTGTCATGTGAGCAGTTTAAAAAAAAACACAAACACACAGATACATAGATATTCTTGGCAAAGTGTAGTTCTGTTACCTCCCCAGCTGTTGTGAGGACATAGAAATTAGTTTTATTTCTCTGTTAGTGATTGGATCTAGGTCTTAGAAGAAAAGTAAGAGATAAAAATGAGATCTCTTGGCAAAACTGCCTTGGTAACCTACATTCTTAATTCTATTATTCCATTGTCCCAGATCACAAAAAGTTTATCCATTCATAGATCTTTTAAAATTAATTTTTAGATTGCTTATTGAAATGTTTTTAAAATAAAGCTAAGTATGTATAGAAAGTATTAAAATGTAAGCAGCTATTGCTTATCTTAAAATTAGAAAAAAATTGCATATTAATTATCTGGTTTTTTCATTATTCCAGTGCCTTTTACTTAAAGGCTCTAATAAGCCATTTGTTAAGAATGGAAGTTTGCCTAAACACATTTGTTAACATAGAAATAACTATTAAGGGAAAAATAGTTGTTCCTCCAGGTGTGTTCCCCAGCCCCTCACCTCTATACCCCTTTAGAAGCACTTGTTGCCCTGACTTGAACTGGGAGGTAACTTTTTTTCTTTTTAAATCCTTACCTGAGGATATGTTATATTTATTGATTTGAGAAAGAAAGAGAAACATTGATTGGTTGCATCCAATATGTGCCCTGACTGGGAATCAAACCCGCAACCTGAGCCACCCAGCCAGGGTGAACTGGAAGGTAATTTTTATTTGAATGTGTAGCTTTATGGGTATAGAGACTTAAGTTATTCCAGTCTGACAAGAAAGTAACAAAAGAATATACTCTAACTTTGCTTTATAGTGTAAGATTGGATGATGCTAGAAGCTTATATAAGGAAGTTTCATTAATTTGTATTGAGAGTTTAATAAAATATACAACATCCCACAAGTGTATGTATAAACTTAACTAGTTTAGGGGTGGTTTTATAAATCGTAAATTTCAAAATTTGTAATAGAAGAAGCATTGCATTAATATGTCATGAAAAATTCTTTGGTAGATTTTCAGAACAGATTAACAAGTCACACATGACCACATTTTTAACATTATTTTGCTTGTTTAGAAATCTTAAAAAAGCGCAAGACTCTGTCTTTCGCACAGAAAAAGAAATAAGAGATACTGCAAAAGAAATAGGTGACTTAACAGCAGAGCTGAAAAGTCTTGAGGACAAAGCAACAGAGGTCATAAAGAATACAAACGCTGCAGAGGTAAGACTCAAGGGGGTTTAAGCAGTTGGATATATGACATCAATACCTTGCATAATAATTGCTCAATAGATTAAAATTTATAACTATATTAACTTGTATTTATACAATAAAATATAAGTACTGTATTGTAACTTTTGAATAATAGTTTTAATTTAAAATGGAAGGGGCTTGGGGCGATTTCGGCTTTGCAGTATGAAAATACCTGTTTTTTATTGGGGAAAGCCATATATGTAGCAGTTCTTCTTGGTTTTTAGGAGTCCTTACCAGAGGTCCAGAAAGAACATCGTAATCTACTACAGGAACTAAAAGTAATTCAAGAAAATGAACATGCTCTTCAAAAAGATGCACTTAGTATTAAATTGAAACTTGAACAAATAGATGGTCACATTGCAGAACATAATTCTAAAATAAGATACTGGCAAAAAGAGGTGAGATTGTTAACATTTAAAAATAATTTTAAAATACCCTTTATGAAAAAGGGTTGGGTGTGTGTGTGTGTGTATGTATGTTTGGGGTATATTATGATTCTTAATTCATGATATAATCACATCCCAGGCTTATAGGTTACATTAGGAACAATATGTAGTAATATTAAATACAGAAAAATCTGAGTAATTTTTAGTAGTCAACATTTTCACTTACGGGCTGATTTGGAAATTTAACAGAATTTGGAACGCTACAACTATTTTTCTTGAAGTCCTTTGAAAAGTAGATACACAGATTAGTCACAAACCCTTGGTATATGTTGTTTAGGTAGATAGATAAGTTGTCATATTGTTTTGACTCTAAACAATGAATGGTAGTACTGTGCCCTCCCTAACTCTTCATTTCATTGAACTTTTAGATTTCAAAAATATCACTGCATCCCATAGAAGACAATCCTGTTGAAGAGATTTTAGTTCTGAGCCCAGAGGATCTTGAAGCAATCAAGAATCCAGATTCTATAACAAATCAAATTGCACTTTTGGAAGCCCAGTGTCATGAAATGAAACCAAATCTTGGTGCCATTGCAGAGTATAAAAAGAAGGTATGAATAAACTATTACTGAATCATAACCAAAAATCCTTTTTTCATCCTCAGCCTAAATTGTGATCTTTGATTTTATATAATTAACAGTGTTCTCATCTCAAATTTAAAACTGCACATTTATTCTCACAAAAATACTCTTTTCATAGGAAGAATTATATTTACAACGGGTAGCAGAATTGGACAAAATTACTCATGAAAGAGATAATTTTAGACAGGCATATGAAGATCTTCGGAAACAAAGGCTTAATGAATTCATGGCAGGTTTTTATATAATAACAAATAAATTAAAGGAAAATTACCAAATGCTTACTTTGGGAGGCGATGCTGAACTGGAGCTTGTAGACAGCTTGGATCCTTTCTCTGAAGGAATCATGTTCAGGTTTGTAACTAAATGCTGAGTTTTGGATCTTCCTATTATATCACACTAGAGGCCCAATGCATGAAATTCATGCAAGGGGCTCAGCCCTTGGAGCCCCGGCTTCGTCTGAAGGTCATTCAGCTGTCTAATCTAATCAGCATATTACGCCTTTATTATTGTAGATAGCTCTATACTTTCTCCAGATTCTTAGTATTTTTTTTTAGGGGTGGGATATGAAGAATAGAAAATACACAACTTGTTCTGTTAAGTCTAAATACTAAATTTATTTACATATTGTCAGTTTTAGAGCATAAATTCTGTGCAAACAAATATTTAATTTTACACATCTTTTTCTTAAATCTTAGTCATTTAAGTTTAACATCAGGAATGTAAAATTGCAGAGTAAAAATTACATTGGAAATGGGGGAAGAATCGCAAAGAAGTACTTATTAGCCTGCTGGTTTAAATCTTAAAATTTTGGTAGATGTCCCTAAGGGTTCATCCTCCAATAACAGTTTTATAAAATTACCCCAAAAAGTTTAGAATTGTAAAAAGCAAGTTAGAAATTCCTGAGGAAGGTAGTTATGGACTAACAAGATTTTCTTTATTTCAGTGTTCGACCACCTAAGAAAAGTTGGAAGAAGATTTTCAACCTTTCGGGAGGAGAGAAAACACTTAGTTCATTGGCTTTGGTATTTGCTCTTCATCACTACAAACCCACTCCCCTGTACTTCATGGATGAGATTGATGCAGCCCTTGATTTTAAAAATGTGTCCATTGTTGCATTTTATATATATGTAAGTAATCATTTAGAGGTTTTTACCCTAAAAATTTTACGGGTTCATCAGATATTGCACATGGAATTCGTTGACTTACCGTATTACTTGTTTTTTTCCAAACTGTTCTCTGTGTCCTGGGGTGTCAAAGGAGGCAAAGTCCTTTACTTGAGCCAAATATTTCCATTTTGGGAAAGTGAAATATAAATTAATAATGTAAATTAGTAGCAGAAACACAGCTAGAATCTTCTGTCTCTGCCTAGATTTTTTTTTTTTTTAATTTCAGAGAGGGAGAGAGATAGGAACATCAGTGATGAGAGAGAATCATTGCTACCTCCTCCATGCTCCCACTAGGGATCCAGCCCACAAACCAGGCATGTGCCCTGACTGGGAAACAGACTATGACCTCTTGGTTCGTAGGTCTATGCTCAACCATTGAGCCACACTGGCCAGGCTACATCTTTTTTTTTTTTAATCCACTAAGACTTCTAAGCAACCATCCTTCCAGAAATCCTCAAATTCCTCTCAAATCCAAATACTGTTTCATAAATTATCCCATCATTCCTGTTCATTTTAATTGCCAATATTATGTTAAATTTATTGCCTAAAATAGAAGCTTAGATGTTTATGATGTACCTTTTAATACTTTATATTTCTAACTTATTTTTTTTTTCTCTTTAGGAACAAACAAAAAATGCCCAGTTCATAATCATTTCTCTTCGAAATAATATGTTTGAGATTTCAGATAGACTAATTGGAATTTATAAGACATACAATATAACAAAAAGTGTTGCAGTAAACCCAAAAGAAATTGCATCTAAAGGACTTTGTTAAACTTGTTTATACTGAAGATTCGTCGAAGCGAATCAACATAGACTCGGTGTATTATATTACTGATTTTTCTATTTGTGAAGGATTATAAACTGTATAATATTCATATTCCTAAACTTGATCGTGTAAACTGGCTTCTATTTTATGCTGTTACAAGTCTAATAAAATATCCTGCCTGCTTCTAGGAGATTGTAAGAATCTGATAATTTTCTAAGCAGCAGACTATGGAGAAAACAAGATGCCTGGAGTTCAGGTTACTGCCCTTCCCCCCCTATTGCTACCAGCAGAGTTAAAAGAATGTTAGTTAACATTTCAAGTTCTAAACTAGTTCATGTTATCAAGATGCAACATACTCTCATGGACCTTTGACCTACAGTGGAAAAACTTGCCAACTATTAGTTTATAAATTCCAAAGGCATTCCATTTAATTTACTAATTTAGACAATCACTATTTATTACCCAAATACTGGGGGCATATTTTTTTATGAGTCATTTTTATTTATAAGGGTGAGAATTTAGTTTATATGCTTTTCTAAAACTTGGTGTTTAAAACACTTGCAAGAGGGCCAGCAAACTGAGAAAGTCTGAACACGACCAGGATATTGCATACAGTGACAAAAAGAAATACCCGCTACAGTTGCTTCATAAAAAGAATGAAATATATATGGGTTAATGTCTTCAGTGTAAATGGAAATTAAGATGGAGGATTGTTTTTGCATGCCCATTGCCAGGGTTTGGAGCAGTTTTTGTTTGACACTGTATTAGCTCAAGAAATAGACTACTGGAAATAAGTTGGCAACCATTTGGTTTTCAGAAGGAATATTGGTATTGAATCAGAAGTCTTTGTCCTTACTGTTCAATTTCTAGATATTGATCCTGAGGACTTAGTTAATTAGCTCATTATGCAGTAAAGCATTATTTAGGTACTAAAAATCCAACAAAGGTCTGTATCATAACATAGCCATTCAAAATGTAAATAACATTAGTGTGCATTTAAATAAAGATCTGAAACTCAAGTGTGGTCATTTGTTTAATTTTATTTTCTTATATTTTTATTTCAGAGAATATGGAGAGGGATAGATAGGAACATCAATAATGAGAATCATTGATCGGCTGCTGCCTGGACACCCCACATGGGGTTCAAGCCCGCAACCCTGGCATGTGACCTGGTTCATTGGTTGACACAAAGCCACTGAGCCACACAGGCTGGCCTGTTTAATTTTAACTGCACTGGGGAAAGGCATTGCCTCGTTTGGATGTGTCTGGAGTCTTGGAAGCTTGCTATCCAGTTCTCCTACAAATGGATCTTGAGAGCTTTGTTTGGAGGCTCTAGCAGGCGAGCAATTACTTGTATACCCCTTGACAGAAAAACTGGTTAAACCCAGACAGCTTCGGGAGAGAGACACATGGAGTGGTGAGGGAGGAAGGAGAGACCCATCACCCATGCCTAGCTAGCCAGATCAGCCGAATCAACCCTGCTGATTAATGGGGTGACATGTCACAGCCTGGTCATTTGTTTTCAATCATGGAACAGAAAAGTAACTCAGGCTATAATTATAACCAAGTGCTTTTACATTAGTGAGAGTAGAGGTGAGTGGAATTAAATATTTTATTACACTTTAATAACTAAAAGTGCACGATACCCACCCACAACCCATATGAAAACTCCAAAGTTACCACTCCTGAGTTTGAGTGCCTTAAGACAATAAAAGTAAAATATAAAGAGTTTATTAAAATATATACTTTTGTTATATGTGAAACTTAGAAATATTTTAATATACACTTTAAATTTTACACAATCTCATCTTCCCAGTAAAAGTACAAAAGAGAACAGCATGTTTAAGAATCAGGCATAACTTGGAGATACTGTGGGTTTGGTTCCAGACCACCCACCACAATACAATAAAGCGAATCAAACAAATTTTTTTGGTTTCCTAGTGCATATAAAGGTTATGCTTATGCTACACATAATTGCAGTCTATTCAGTATGCAACACCATTATATCTTTTAAAAATACCTTAATTTAAAAATGCTATATTGTTAAAAAATGCTAACCATCTGAGTTTTCAGCAAGTTGTAATTTTTTTGGTGCAGATAAACTTGACACAGGGTTGCAACTAAACCTTCAGTCGCAAAATTAAAAACCAATATTCTGCCTAAGTGCCATAAAACGAAGTATGCCTGTACTGACTGTATTCATGTATACTATATAAGTTTTGTCCACTAAAAACTGGCAAGAGTCCCCCATATATTACATGGCCTTGAACAAATTTTTTGTGGTTTTTCATCTAAGCAGGGGTGGGGGGTTCATACCTACTTCACAAATGTGAAATTAAGTATTTGACACATTTCAGTGCTTATGAATATTTTTACATGTATTTAAAGATACATGTTTTTTGTGTTGTGACTAATGCTTTTATCAAAATCTCAAATGTTCTTTGCCCACACAGTAGTTAATTGTGTGAGGTATATTATGATGCTGGTCATAAAGAGACCTAGCCAGCCATCTTAGTGTTGGCTCTCTTTTAAGTAAAATTCAAGAAAATAAGATTAAATTGGTACTTAGGTATTAGCATAAGAGAATGTTTGGCAAAAAAAAAAGTAAGTTTTTAAGACAAATACAGTTAACATGTTGACATCTAAGTCTAATGAGAACAGAATACGTAACGTTTCAAAATTCTTATCCAAGAACTTAGTTGGCAACTGAACACTACACTAAAGTTAAATATAATCCTAAAGTAACACAAACCACAGAATACTTTCTTAGAAAATGTTGCTGTTTGTTCTCTAACAATACTTAAGATTTTCAAAAGCAACAGCTTTATTAGAAGTGAATGCTGATAAACAATTTTAAGGCTCTTAAATCCATCTAAAACAATGTGTGGATCTGGTTTATTTGATCAAAAACATCTTTAAGCAACCCCTTATCATTTTAGACTTTGCTGCTTGATTTTAAAACCTCACCATCTTTATTTGCCCATGCAAAAGAATCAAGCCACATCAAAAATAAGTGCATAGGTACTTAACAGATTTTACCATCTTTTTTTCTAAAAGCTATGTATGAAGAACTGCAAAGTCAATCACTACAGCCATATAAACGCTAAAAGACAATATTGGTAAAACAATGTTTAAATGCCACAACAATAGAAAGTCAACCTCTCAAATCCATTAAAAAGGATAGTACTCAAATCAACTAGATTTTATTCTAGTTTTCAGACCAAAAACCAGAGATACTGCTTCATTTCTGATACATTTCTATCCAGAAACATGATTTAAAATATTTCTATATATTTGTTGCAATTCTAATAAAGTTTAGTTTGCTATTTTACTCATCCATGCAACCCATATTTCTCCATTTAGCAATGGTTGTTAGTCCCTGTTTAGAAAAAGCCTATTTGAATTTAGATTTGCATTTTCAACGAAAGACTATTTTCCACATGAATTCCTTCAGTAAATGTAAAGTGTGATATAGCATATCCTTTAAATTGTGCAGATTGTTAGATAAACTTTGGTAAACAGATATAGAGACTTCAGAAAAACACAATGAAGTATTTTCATTTAGAGAGGTTATTATGTGTTGGTTAAAAAAGAGGATCAACATCAGTATCACTGAAATTATTGTAACTGTAACAATGTTTAGAATCTTAAAAAATTCAACTTCCTTTTCATCAGCAGGCCAGGAACATGGCATCCTGGTTGAAGAAATTTTCATTTCAGGAATGAGAAGTTTCTTAATTTGTCCAATTTCTGTTATGCTCCAATCTTCTTTCAATACTTGGCTTACTCGAGGATAAATTTCAATACGCTGGACCTCGGGAAGTGGACTTTGTTTCAAGACCTGCACACGCTGACGGACATCATCAACTTTTTCAAGAAATTTAAGTGGGGACTCCTCTTGTAAAGATGTTGTCAATGTCATTAATTCAAGCTGCTGTTTCCTCATGTCTCTTATTCTTTCAATTTGTGGAGTATATTCTTGATTAATCAGATTGCCAACATCAGAGAGAGCAGTTAGGAAGTTTTTTTTTTTCTGTTCTAATATATCACTAAGCTCCTTAAAATACTGGAGAACAACTTCTTTATCACCTTGGACCACTTTCTCCGAATGAGATTTTTCTTCTTCCAGCTTTTCAATAAGACAAGTAAGGTCTGTCCAGTGTGCATCAGTTAATTGTTCCAGCAGTTTTTGCGGCGTGTCCTTCTCTTTCAGATAGGCACTTTGAAGATCATCTATAGGATGACCATGATGTTGGCCTATGGTAAGGCAATGACCACAAACTAATTTTTTATCTAGTAGACAGTATACATTTAAGGGTTGCCTGTAATGTTCAGGGCAAGTGACAATATCTGGATGATCTTCTTGCTGGTACTTTTCAATAATAGCCCTTAATGCAAAATTAACAGGTAAAGATTCAATACCAGTTGAAGCAATTTCAATGATACTTCTGCAATTAGGGCACTTTAGTGGAATTCGTAATGGTCTCCATATATAAAAGTTACCAGATGCCTGAAGAACATTTTCCAAGCAGTTTCTACAAAATGTATGAGAGCATGGTAGTACACGGGGATCTTCAAAAATACTATAACAAATGGGACATGTTAACTCGTCCTCAAAATTGTACATTTTCTGTCAAGAGAAAAAAGTATTTTAAGTCTACATATAACAAAGATAATTGCACATACATAAAGTCTTAGTTGTTACCCTCCAAATAGTTAATATACTGTACTTGTCATTTAAAAGAGGATACTTAAGGTATTTATTAAGATTTTTTTAATTTAATGCAATATCATCTTTAAGAGCAAAACAAAACAATTCTAATTTCTAATGCTTCAAATTGAAGTTATTTAAGTTTGTTCCTATGTAATGAAGATTTAAATTCGGTCTTCTGCTGAAGTCTGCTTAATGGTTATAACTATTCTGTGAAACTTCCTACATTCTAAAATGCTAAAATAAGTTAGGCTTAGCAAAATTATATTCTTAAATTCAAAAGAATTCATGCTCTCAGCTCAACCACAGTTTCTAAAGCAAGTTACTAAATTTCTCTAGTAACTCTTACTATAAATTTCTTATTTCTTAAACTGGACGACTGGTGTGCTTACATAGTGTAATACTCTAAAGTCATTTTATGTTTTACTTATTTGTAATTTTGAGAGCACGTTCATTAAAGCTGGAGACAGTGCAACAAGGAAGGCTTAGGATAGAATAAGCAACAGGAGAGAGTCTAGGCAGGGCTGCTTTGACTCTAGAAATGTCAAAGTAATTTTAATTTGAAGATTTAGAAAAGAAAAACATTTTTTAATTGGTCCTTGCAATAAAAATCAGTTTCAAAAATGAAGTGTGGTAAAAAAAAATTACCACTAGAATATGAGTGGTAAAGAACACCATTAGTCATCTCTCCTTAATGCAAGAAGCTGAGCGATAGTTCAGAGACCCTCTTTGACACAAGTAACTTGACCTCTTAGCAAGCCATTATTGACATTTCCAACAAGCCTACAGTTTTGCACCTTATCACCTTTTAATACTCCTTTGTACCTATCAATGCAAGCCACAATCCCAAGTATAGAGAAAAATCAAGTCACACCACTGTTTCAAGAATTTTGAAAAGCAAAACAAAAAACCCAATGTCATTCAGGTAATTACCAAATTCTCCTCTATAAAAAGATTAATAAAGGTTTGAGAAAACAAATTATACTTTCGCCCTGGCCAGTGTGGCTCAATTGGTTGGGCATCATCTTATGCACCAAAAGATTGTAGGTTCTATTCCCAGGCAGGGCACATGCCCAGGTCAGGGCACATGCCCAGGTTGCAAACTCGATCCTCCATAGGATCAATGTTCCTTCTCACATCAGTGTTTCTCTCTCTCCTCCTTCCCACTCTCTAAAAATAAAAAATAAAAATATTTTTTCAAACAAGAAATTATACTTTTCTTTCTTTTTTTTTTTTAAATATATTTTATTGATTTTTTACAGAGAGGAAGGGAGAGAGAGAGAGAGAGTTAGAAACGTCGATGAGAGA